TAAAATAAAATAAAATAAAATAAAATAAAATAAAATAAAATAAAATAAAATAAAATAAAATAAAGAGACAGACAAAATAATTAAAAGAAAAAATAATAAAAAAATAATTAAAACGGAGACAAAATAATAAAACAGAAAATAATAAAAGGAGACAAAATAATAATAATAGACAGAGACAATAATAATAAATACCGACAAAATAATAATAATACAGACAGAGACAATAATAATAATAAACAGAAACAATATTAGAATAATAGAGACAATACAATAATGATAGAAACAATAATAATAAACAGAGACAGAGACAATATTATAATAAACAGACAAAATAATAATAAACAGACGAAATAATAATAATAAACAGAGACAATATTGTAATAAAGAGACAAAACGGAGACAATAATAATGAGACAAAATTATTATAATAATGAGGGAATATAATAATAGACAGAGACAATAATAATAAGCAGAGACAATAACAATAATAATAAAGAGAGAAAATAATAATAATAGTAATAAAAGGAGACAAAATAATAATGAAAGGAGACAATAATAATAATAATAATAATAAAGAGACAATATTATAATAAATAGAGACAATAATAATAATAATAGAGAAAATAATAATGAAAAGGCAAAACAATAATAATATAGAGACAGTAATAATACTAAACAGACAATATTATAATAATAACAGAGACAATATAATAATAATAAACAGACAATATAATAATAATAATAAAGAGAGAAAGTAATAATGATGAAAAGAGACAATAGTATTAATAATAAACAGAGACAATATAATAATAATAGACAATATAATAACAATAAACAGACAATATAATAGTAATAATAATAATAAAGAAAGTAATAAAGATAAAAGAGAAGAGACTTACGTAGCCAGCAAACCCTAAAGGCGGCCCCACCGTCAACCCCACAATCGAAGCCCCTAATATCGGATACCGCCAGCCTGAACGCCAAACCCTAAACCCTAAACCCTAAACCCTAAACCATAAACCCTAAACCCTAAACCCTAATGTTCTTCTTGTGCAGCTGGACAGATTTATTTTTCGCATCGAGGCAGATACTGCCAGAGCAGCAACAGCAGCAATAACAGCAGCTGCAGCAGCAACAGCAACAGCAGCATTAGCAGCAGCAACAGCAGCATTATCAGCAGCAGCAGCACTATCAGCAGCAGCAGCAGCAGCACTATCAGCAGCAGCAGCATAATTATTATGATGATGAAAAAAGGGTTTGTGTTTGCTTTACTTCTTCTCTTAAAGACATTGAAGGCAGCAATCCCTAGCCCCAGGGTTGTTGCTGCTGCTGCTGCACGTGCTCTTGCTGCTATTTGCTGCAGCGCCTGTCTGTCTTCAGGGCTCAGCAGCTGCTGCAGCTCTCCCCACATAGAAGAGGGGCAAGGGGGGCCTCCTTGCCAGCCTGAATAGGGCAGCTGCTGCTGCTGCTGCAGCGGCTGCTGCAGCGGGTACTGCTGCTGCAGCGGCAGCTGCGGCTGCTGTGGCTGCTGCTGCTGCTGCTGCTGCTGCAGAGGCGAAAAACCAACTGAAGACGCCACAGTGGGGAGTCGTAAAGGATTGCTCTCAGGAGAACCTGCAGAGTAAGCAAGACCTGCTGCAGCAAGGGGGCTGTTGCTGCTGCTGCTGCTGCTGCTGTTGCTGCTGCTGCTGTTGCTGCTGTTGCTGCTTAGCCCTCCCCATCCTGCAGGAGAAGAGGCCCCGCCCTCACCGGCAGGCCTATCCGAACTGAGGTCCATCTGCGTCTTGCTGCTGCTGCTGCTGCTGCTGCTGCTGCTGCTGCTGCTGCTGCACCTCTTGCTGCTGCTTTGACTCTGGGGAAATGCTGCGTTCCGAGCAGCTGTGTCAGGGGCTGGTGCTGTTGTGGAGAAGCTAACTAGCTGCTGCTGTTGAAGTTGCTGCTGCTGTTGCTGCTGTTGCTGTTGCTGCTGCTGCTGCTGCTGTGTGTGTGTGTACGGGGCCCCCCTTACCCTTGAAGCGTAGAGACGGATTGTACAAATAAATTTAATTAATTAATTTATTTTGCTGTAAATTAATTGAATTCAGGGTCAATGCCGCTAGAGTTGCAGCAGCAGCCTGCTGCTGTTGCTGCTGCTGTTGCTGCTGTGCTATTGTAGCTGCTGCCGTCGCTGCTGCTGCGGCTGCAGCTGCTGGGGCTGCAGCAGCAGCAGCCCTAAGAACTCTGCTGCTCTAATTATAAATTATTTTTCTTACTTTTTCAGTAACACAAGAATTGGCTGCATTTAAATAGGCTTCTCTCCAGCAGCAGATTCGCTCTTGCTGCTGTTGCTGCTGCTGCTGTCGTGCTGCTGCTGCGGCCCCACACCCCCAGGTCTTGCTTGACCTTCTCCTGTCTGCAGCAGCAACTGCAGCAGCAAACACCGCAGCAGAGGGTTTCGCTGCTGCTAGAGGCCGCCTCTTGAGTCGTTCGGCCGGCTGCTGCAACAGCAGCAGCGAAGCAGCAACGGCAGCAGCAGCAGCAGCTGCTGCTGCTGCTGCTTTCAAGGCCTTGCAGTAAAGCCACTGCACACCTGCAGTGTACATACACCCCAGATGCAGTCAGCTTCAGCTGACGTTAGTCTTCGTTGCATGCAGGGTAAGAAACCATAGAGAAAAAACAACAGCAGCACTAGCAGCAGCAGCAGCAGCAGCAACAGCAACAGCAACAGCAGCAGATGCCGCCTTCTTCCGACGAGAGCAGCAGCAGCAGCAGCAGCTTTGGCCTAAGTGGCCTCAGCTCTCTGACACCTCCTGGGGGTTTTTCGCTGCCTCCTCCTCCCCCCCTGAGCAGCAGCAGCAGCAGCAGCAGCAGCAGCAGCAGCTTGAGCTTCGGGCTTCCTGATACAGCTTCAGGTGTATATAGACCTCCGCTTAGAGAACAAGATCTTTACCTCTACGGCTACGGCAAACAATTCGGCGAGAAACTCACGCATAGTGCTGGGGTTGGCTATGCAGCAGGTAAACCCTAAACCCTAAACCCTAAACCCTAAACCCTAAGCCCTAAACCCTTGATAGGTTCTCTATGCTGATGCCTTTTCAATTATGCTGCTGTTGTCTGCTGATCCGATTCAATGATCTTTGCCTGCAGACAGCCACTGCTGCTGCTCTTGCTGCTGCTGCTCTTCCTGCTGCTGCTGCTCTTCCTGCTGCTGCTGCTCTTGCTACTGCCGCTGTTCTTGCTGCTTCTGCTCTTGCCGCTTCTCTTGCTGCTGCTCTTGCTGCTGCTGCTGCTCTTCCTGCTGCTGCTGCTCTTGCTGCTGCTGCTGCTCTTCCTGCTGCTGCTCTTCCTGCTGCTGCTGCTGCTCTTGCTGCTGCTGCTCTTGCTGCTAAGCATAGCTGAGAGTTTGTTTGTTTGTCGCAGGCGTATTGCTGGGGGGTGTATATGGGACATTTGTCGGGTTAAGAAGAGGAGGAGAGACAAAAAAACTAAAAATAAATTCGCTGCTCAACGGCTGCACAATGCATGCACCCCCTATGGGCAGCCAACTCGCCACCCTCAGTAAACCCTAAACCCTAAACCCTAAACCCTAATTCAACCCTAATCAAACCCTAAACCCTAATTCAACCCTAACTAAACCCTAGAACGCATACTTCTGTATGACGAAACACGCTGCGATATATACACCCGAAACAAACCCTAAACCCTAAACCCTAAACCCTAGCAAAACCCTAAACCCTAGTAAAAACCCTAAACCCTAGACCCTCATTATGACGGGCTTAAAGAGTATGATCTGGGTGTATGTGAAAGTATGTGTGAATGCGTAATTAGGGTTTAGGGTTTAGGGTTTAGGGTTATGTGGATGCGTTTGTTGTTGCAATTAGGTTTATTTTATTGCTGCTTTAATAATATCTTTATTTTCTTTCGAGGCGACTCACCTCTGCATGCGTCTGCTGCTGGGGCCCTCGCGGGCTGTCTATACAAAAGCACTGCGAACTGCCGAGTCATGGGGGCCTATACCCTCGCCTCTTCTTGTAAGTTGTAGCTAGCTAGCTAGCTAGCTAGCTAATTGGCTAGCTGACTGTTTAGCTAGCTGGCTAGCTAGTTAGCTTGCTAGCTGGCTGAGTAGCTAGCTAGCTAGCTAGCTGCACAAGAACAACTAGCTACCGAGCTACACACGCACAGCTAGCTACCTAGCTAGCTAGCTATACCTAGCCAGGCTAGCTAGCTAGCTAGCTGATTGGGTAGCTAGCTAGCTAGCTAGCTAATTGGGGTCCCTGTGGGTTGTGCTGTGCGTCTTCTTTGCTGCAGTGGCTTTTACTGCAATCGATCAGTACATGCGGCGCTACCTCTAGAGCAGCTAGCTAGCTAGCTAGCTGATTAGATAGCTAGCTAGCTAGCCAACGGGCTCTAGCTAGAGCTGTCTCCGTCAGCGGCTGCTTACCTAGTACCACCAAACGCATGCATTCGGACCGCCCTGCTGCTGCTGCTGCAGCAGCATCAGCAAGTGCGGCAGCAGCAGCAACGCGGGGACCGCGGCCTGTTGCAGCAGCAGCAGCAGTGCTGCTGCTGCTTCACTCTCGCTGCTGTGTTGCTAGGGCGTCCTTCAAATTGAAGGCTGGGTGGCAGCAGCAGCAGCAATAGCAGCAGCAACAGCAGCAGCTGTTGCTGCGTACATTAGTGGGGAGGTATAGCGGGTTGATGCTGCTGCATGCAACTTCAGCAGTAGCTGCTGCTGCTACTGCTATAGAACCCTTGCTATATGTAAGTGCAGCAGCAGCAGCAGCAACAGCAGCAGCAGCAGCAACAGCAGCAGCAGCAGCAACAGCAGGAGAGTGCTTCTTGCGTTTGCTGTTTGAGGCACAGCTGCTGTGGGGCTGGAGAACCCCACAGCCACAGACTTGCAGCAGACTAGCTAGCTACCTAGCTAGCTAGCTAGATAGCTATCTTTCTAGCTAGCTAGTTAGTTAGCTAGCTAGCTAGACTGGGGGCTCTTTATATTGTTTTGGCTGTTTGTAGGAAGAGGAGGCACCGGGTTAGCTAGCTAGGTAGCTTCTGCTGCCTAGCTAGCTATCTAGCTAGCTAGCTACGCCTCTAGCTAGATACGCAGCTAGCTAGCTGGAGAGCTAGCTAGGCAGCTAGGGAGCTATCTAGACAACCATGTAGCTAGCTAGCTAGCTAGCTAGCTGGCTAGCTAGCTGGCTAGCGTAGGGCACTGTATAGAGATATTCTTTTATAAACCCTGTCTCTATCAGATACTGTCTCTTGTATAAATTGTCTCCTTGAGGAGAAGTCTGTCTCTTCTTATAAACACACCTTATAAAGACTTATTAATTATAGAGACTTTCGTATATAAACTGCATCTGTTGCTTGTTATGAAGACTGCCTCTTATGTAGGCTGTCTCTGTCCTTCTCTGACTCTTTTAAAGACAATATATGGGTGCTGCAGACAGCAGCAAAAGGAGAGTCTTCGATTGCTGCAGCAAACAGCAACGAAGGAGACGCCTGTATACGTATACAGAGACAGCAGATGC